ATAGCACCATCAGAAAGCAAAATCACCATCCTGAAAAAAGCCAAGAGTAAAACCCTGGGAGTGCAAGCAAGGTAAAATTCTTTAAGTCATATTAAAATTCATAATTATAAATCTTAAATTTAAATTTCTAAAAACACTTTCTTTACTTTTTTTTCTAGGTACATTGTTTGTTTGTTACTTTTTTTTACAATAATAAAGTTAAACGTTGTAAAGTGTCATTGAGATAAAATTCAACTGTATACACACAAACATTCAAAATTTACTCACTTCTTGCATCATCATTTTGAAAATTTAATTTTAGCAATAGCCTTTTTTATCTTGATTTCTACAGACTTTTTAAAACAAATATGATTGATTAAAACCATAAAATGTTTATTTAACCAATACAAAATCTACCTCGGTGAACTTCCAGGTCTGTGTGGCTTTCCTGCGCTCGTCTCGTTTTCTGAGGGTGAGGGGGACAACCCTCCCCGGTCTGGGGGCGATGTCATCTATGTCCAGAGTACCATGCTCTTCCCTGAGGGGTAGGAGGACCGATTGTGGGGGTCTCGGGAGATATCGACCCCTCATGCTCTAACATACCCCCGCTGGTCATTCTCCATAACTGGTTACGATTACCAATCTCCTGTTAATCAATAAATTATCTAATTACCAATATCCTAGCTTTACAGACATATTGTCAAAAACATGTTACTGTAGATGCATTCACAGCACATAAATTGAATTCACATAATAACCTAGGAGGACTTAAAACCTTCATTTGACTTAAACTCCAAAATTAAATTAATCAACAGTCAAGTTATCTTATTAAAGGTACTTGGATACACATTTGAAGTTAATCTTTTCTAATTTTTTCTGTTTAATATCACGAATTATATATTTTAATAGCATTTCACACAAAAAATAAATAAATTAAAAATCTTATTTCGTTTAAAAGTTATTAAAACTTTAAATTTTTGGCGGGTTTGATTGACACATCCTTGCACTTTCACATATTTTAATTTTATTCTTAATCATTAGGAAAAGTGGCAATTTTGATGTGTTTTAATGAGAAATATTAAAACTTTTATCAAGAAAAATAATTTTATTCAGAGTAGAAATGTTAGAAAGCAAAACACTTTCACAAGTATCGTCATTCCGAACTAAGAGATGCGTGCAGATTTTAGCAAATCGAGCACACTCGTGTTATGTACACAGTTTTTATAAACAGGGCTCAAGTTCTGTTATTGTTTATATTTAGAATTCACTGGGTGTGTTCAATCGTCACAGTCTGCTTACCACAACTGCACGGACTGACAATATATTGTGTGTTTGTTTTGCTTTCGAACGTGTCTACTCTGGTTTTCTATAATAGTATTAATATTTTTCATTTATACAAAACGAGATTGCCACTTTTACTAAGGATTAAGAATAAAATCAAATTTGTGAGCGTGCACCGATATGTCAATCAAACCCGCCGAAAAATTTGAAATATCAATATCTTTTAAACGAAATAAGATTTTTAATTAATTTTTGTGTGAAATGCTATTAAAATATATTATAAGTCGTAATCTTATAGAGAAAATAATAACGTAAATCTGTGTCCAAGTACCTTTAATGTTTCCTTATATTTATTCCAATTTCTTTCCTTAGTCATCATTATGCCAAACCTCATTCATTGAAAAATGAAGAAAAAAGCTATTACTTCTAAAGCTGCATGTATTTTGCAAAACATATATTACTTTACCTTTTTACAAAATTTGATGTACTGATCTTGAACAACTTCTAAAACCAGTTCTGTGTGAGGACTATCCTGTGTCGACCTTCTTAAAATAAAATAGAAATAATTAAAATTTAAACATTCAAGATAATTGATTAATTATAAAATGAAGAATTGCATGATTTCATTTTGACAAAACCTGCAAGTGAAACTACATCAAAACCAACATTTTATTACAGAAAACTGATTTCCAATTCTAGACTAATATTGATCAAGCTTATTAAATAGAACACACCTTGGAAAGGTAGCTGATGCGCCAGGTAAATAAAGTTAGGATAACAGAGTTGCTTCCCTTTCCTCCAGTTTGTCCATATTGTAGGTGGCACTAGTTCCTCCCTTAACTCTCAGTGTTATGGAGTGACTCAACATTGGCTCATCCCAGGCATAAGGTACTATCGGGAATTTTACATTTAAAATTCAGTTTTAAAGAAATATACTTAATATAGACACTGACAATATAATTGTATCTATTAATTAGGGCAGAGAAAAGCAACTGACATATACTGTATACAGGATTATTTTCGCCCCGTTTTATTTCCCTTTTGAACTTGTGAACAATTTTGCCTTATTTCATATTCGCCCAGCCTTAGTTCTGTTTAAGAAATTATGAGGTGTAATTTGAATTGCCCCATTTAAATTCGCCCAATCAAGGAGAGGGCACTAGTGGCAAAAATAAAACGTGGTGAAAATATCCTGGTATACAGTACATGTAATTTGAGGCTTACATTGTACCCCAGGCTGAACAAAAGCTTTCAGCTTCTGTTCTGTTGTGTCACTTTGGAAATATTCCACAGGAATCTAAAATATTGAATTGAATGAAAATTGCATACCGTATACGTAAAATTTTTAGCGAGGATTTAATTTTGGCATTATTAGCGAGGGTGTCCAGGTTGCTAAAATTGAATATCGCTAAAAATTAATCCCGTTTTACTTGTAATAGCTTTTAAAATGTGCATTTTAAAATCGCTAAAATAACATCTTGCTAAAAATAAATTACCAGTTTTTAAGGACAAATTGCTAAATTTGCGTCTCGCTAAAATTTCCACTTATACGGTATATATTGTCCTATAATTCAGATTCTATAATTACAAGACAATACAACTATTTTTCCTCAGAGTTTTATATAATATACAAGACAAAGTCCACTAACTTCAGCCCAGTTGTCGATTCTGATGGGAGGGGGGACTTCCCCTGCGTCCCCAAACACAATGAAGTAGGTGGGTCCCTCCATCACTATCTCCACCTTCAGCAGATGACTCACGTTCTGATCATCCCTAAAAATAGATTTACACATTTATTCAGGTAACATCTAATTCATCACAACTCTCATAAAGAAAGCAGCACTGAATTTTTTTCATTGTGTCTCAATTTCTTTTGGACAAGAACTCCCCAAAGCCATGTATAATATGTGAAGATCTACGATGAGTAGTTGCTGAGAAAACTGCAACGAAAATTTGTCATGTATAAAACGGACACACAAACACACAAGGGTAAAACAGTTTATTATATGATTGAATAATTTCCATCTCTCTGATTGGCTGAGATCCAACTATGTTAGAAAAATATTACGTTGTATTGACCTGCACGTGACGTTCCAGGTCAATACAAGGATTTATTTCCTCTACATTGATCTAAAAATAGATTGGGATATTCCAAATTGATACAAATTGTTTTGGAAAGCTATTTAAACGACTATGATTTTTTTTTTTCATGTGAACAAAACATAAACGAATATATATTTTAGGGTGAGGGTGGTAAGAGGGGATGCAGGGACCCCCCTCCAACACTTTTACTGTTTTAACTTTTTAGCAGTCATTTTTTCCTGATAATACTCCTTCCTTTCAAAATCTATCCTATAAAAAAGACTGCCATTATATATTTTTTCATGGCAACTAAAATTGATAAAAAAAAAAATCAAATTGATACTACTGGTAAGGTTTATTCACATTTTAATTCTGCTTCTGTCTTGTATTTGGCTAGGACTTAATTAAATGCAAACAAGTAATGAGCTGTATAATTTTATCAGTGGATCATATAATAAAACAATTATTGCTGTTTTTTGGTCAAACAATGATTTAGCCATCTTCGAAGTACAATATTCACCTCGCCCTTCGGGCTCGGTGAATATTGTACTCCTCAGATGGCTAAATCATTGTATTGACCTCAAAAAAACAGCAATAATTGTATAATATCCCCCTCTCCTTCGCAGCAGGGGTATAAATATTATTTACAAGAAGATCAATTCATACCTTATATTAATGTGGAAAGAATCCGTTTTGTCAATTCTGAATCCACCTGACCAGGAGGAAGATCCCACATCCAATAGATTTACACATAACAACTGGTCAAGGTCAAGTCTTGGCCAATGAAATGGAAGCTTACATTGTGGAAGGGCAATCAAACAGGTGTCTAGCTTCATTGTCTGCAAGAGATCAAGTTTACAAAATGTGCACAAAAATCTAACTTCCGTGGCAATTCCTAAAATGAATTTATATCCTGAGAAAAAATGAACTGAATAAATTATGTTTTCCCCTTTCCTGGCATGAAAATTTACACATACATGATATTCTCTGAAAACAATTTAAGAAAATCGCCATCAAATGATTCCAACATGTACTCACTTCAGACTGGGCAAGATGTCTCTGAGCGATCGCTAATTTGTGACTGGATTGGTTGTCAATTTCATACAAGGGGGCAAAGGTCACAATGTTTGTGTCAGCATAGAGTCCCTTCCCTTGGTGAACCCCTATACCAATGTTGTACACCCTTAAAAACATATATATAAAATTCAATACAAGCCTAATCAGATCTTCATATTTAATTAAAAAAAAAAACCCACTTTTTATTGAAAGTCAAAATTCTTTTTTTATTCATAATATGATCAGTTTATCACGGCTCTTAAAATATTTCTTTACAGGTAATTATATAAGTTATATACTGTATCATTAAAAAAAATATTGGCTGCACGTAACAGGAAGATTACATGGCCTGCTTATAAATAAGTACTGTAAACCAACTTTTATTTGCATGTGAGAAATTTTCGCGAGGGGCGCAAGAGCTTCGTCATCGCGAATATTTCTCGCCGCGAACGGGTCCTTAAAGTTTCTTTTTCTATTAAAAACAGTTCCAAAAAAAGCTTGATTGCGAAAATTTATCGTCAAGAACTAGTTTACTCCCAGTAAATCGTGAAATAAAGTTGTGGCGAATAAAAGTTGGTTTACAGTATCTTTGAGTGTGTGAAATATGATTCATAAATTTAAATTTAATTTAAATTTATTACAATAATACCTTTTTAAGGAAAATATAGTATAAGAATTCCAAAAGTTAAAATAAATAAGCACTAAGAAAACAGTACACCAATATGACAAGACCCTATATTTTTAAGCCCTCAGGTACTTCATGCCAATCCAAAGCCAGGAGATAAAATACAATACAGTGGGGTATGGTATCGGATACTATCAGTAGTACAGTGGGGGTATGGTATCGGATACTATCAGAACACCCTGGGGCCTCCTCATACAGTCATGCTCCTCCCTTCACCCGAGACAGAACTGCTCCCCTCCCAGCCTCTATTGGACTTACTGTGTGTTAGGGATACAAATGGCCAAGGACAGCTTGGCTTGACTTTGTAGTTGTACTAACCAGTCTGGGCGGTTGCCAGTCTTGGGAACCACATTCAGTCTCCTCATGCCGGTACCACTCTCCAGGGAGAACCGCTTACACCTGGGTCAGATAAAAGGACAAGAGTAAGCTTGCAAGTACACCATAAATTGTTCCAAAATAAAATTTAAATCATGAATGAAAAAATTTTTTCCTTTGAAAAATTTTAACTCAGAATATAAAGTAGGCAAACAATAGTTCCATTGGTCATGATTTAAGTGAACATGCATCTACACAACCTAAGGGATGCTTTTTACTCAGCTGAGCTAAAATAAATATCAAAAGTAAAGTATTACCACACAGGGACACTGTCTGGACCCTGCACTGACTTTCCTACTCTCATTGTACATCTGTCAAAGGAAAAAAAAAGTAAGTAATCAGTGAAGAAGGAACAGTTGAATGTATGCTAAGAGGCATCATCCTATCAAATTAGCTTATCAGGGTCTATTTACAGTAACTTGAGAATTTAGTCCTTCATTCAGAAAACACACAGGAAAGTGGTGAGGTCTAAATATCAGTGAACAACTTTGAAGGAATGTTAAACTAGGAAACCAACCATACCTCAAATAAAATTCCTTACAAATACATTTAGAGAAAAGGAATTAAAAACTATTTCATTTCTTACTACAAAGCTACGATGTTCATTAAATCTTTGAAAATGATGTTCAAAGAATTCATGGTTTTCAGCTTTTGAAACACATATATACAGTAGTGAAGCTATAAGATAATGACAATGTGCTCACAGATTGGGAAGGTCCTTCTCGGCGTAACAGAACAGTAGTGGGGTGACGGAGCGGGCCAGTTCATGTTCCTCGTACTGTCCACCAGCATCCTGCTGGGAGAAGTCCTGTTTGAACACCAGGGGGAGCCCTGACTTGTTGACCAACCAGTAAGGGGCCGTCACATGGATCTAGAAAGAAGATAATCACATGGTTATTTCTATAATGTTCATGAGAAACTTTAGAGTAGTTACATAATAATCATAAATCATCCCAGAATTAATATAAAACAGTCTTCGAAATTAAGCGGTAGCCCGATGACCGAGTCTAGTAAAATCGGGATCGGGCTACCAAAAATTATTTACGCGCATGCCTGATGGGCTATTTAGTAAATTTGCGGTGGCGATTTTTAAGTATGATTCCTTTTATAAAATATCAAGAAGGCTATCCCAGGTCAGTGATTCACGAACAGGAGGGCTCTTCCAGAAGAAATAAAACTTGTTTCACAAAATGAAGTACGTAGAATCAAAGCGTCAGCAAAATTTGCTGGAAATCTGACCATGGACTGAATACACCGGTACTACGAATCACCGAAATGCCCCTTGGAATCACCGAAATACCCCTTAATTAATTTTCTTATGAATAAATAAAAGAGTAATAAATATATGATATCAACTATTCTTAAACCCAGATACATAGTTAAATTTTCATAATCTTACTGTAAGTATTTCTTTATTTAAAGATGTGTGCATGTCACACTGTTAACTGCAGCTGAACTGATGCAGAAAAGTATTTAAAACAATCTAAGTGATTTTGAACGTTTAGTGATCAAATTGAATTAGATCAGAAATGCAAATGTGATTGCACTTATCAAAACATATTTTTTTAATTTGTTATTACTCTTGAGTTGGGCTTAGCCTAGTAAAATTTCATTTGGGCTACCAAATTTTATACTTTAACTTGCCCTACGGGCTTGTAGTCAAAAAAGTTAAGCGCAAGACTGTAAAATACATTGAAAGTTTATTTATAACAAAAAAACTACAAACATTTACTAGGGCTCTTCTAATTATCTTTCAAGAGGAAAAATAGAAAAATACAATGAAACCTTCAACAATTTTACAAGTAAATTGTACTAGTTTTAATAAAGAAATCAATGTTTTCAGCAGCATCAGAATTCACTAGAACCTACAGAGACAGATCCTCCCTTCCTGAAGATGATTTTGATGACTAACTCCAGCAGCCGTTTCTTGGTGTCGTACAGACGAATCTTGACCTTGTGGTACTGGGGGCAGGTGGTGACAGGGGGAACCACCAACTCTTTACAGGTGGGGAAGTTCTCCAGATTCAGTCCCAGCTCCAACGCCTGCTGGGGATCGGCCTGTAACAGATAGTGTGTGTGAATAAACTTAAGTTTAGGCTACCTGAGATTGTTTTCATACTAGTTTAATCTTCTTTGCCCAGTAGTTAATTTTGACATTGAATGCAATTTTCACAAATTTATAATTATCTCCCCTTGCAAGAAGGTGTGGCCCTTAAACCTTTATATAAACAAACTACCAATGTGGATCACAGTAGATTATACAGGACTTTTATTTAATGAATGCCTTGAGCCTGCTTGTGCTTACAGCATGTAGGGGAGTACATTTTAATGAAGGCCTCAAGCCTGCTTGTACTTACAGCATGTAGGGGGGTACATTTCTCAATCCTGACTGTATACTTACAGCATGTAGGGGAGTACATTTTAATAAAGGCCCCAATCCTGACTGTATACTTACAGCATGTAGGTAGGCCTTCTCTCCTGTCTTCACTGTTCCACAGATCTGTGTGTCTTTGATGTAGTATCTCAGCTCTATGGGCAGAAGGTTACGAATGATCACAGGTGGACGTATGGATACTGTGTGTCCTGGTAGAATCAAACTCGAGTCCTCTGTCAGTAATTGCTCAGGGTAGTTCTCCCGCTTGACTGACACACAGAATCTAAGATATACAAACACATCCAATCAAATTCTACCAGAAGACAAATAAATTTCAATCTAAACAACAAATCTTCTTTTTCAAAATTAAGAATACCATCCATCACCCAATATACTCTCTTTCCCATTTTTGGCAATGATTTATTTTAAGTTAACTGTTTATCAGGCAATTACTTTGTTCTATATACCGAACAAAACTGGTGATAATTTATGCAAATCAATTTGTTTTACCAATGCTTGCAGAGAAATAAATTGGAAATTGGATTTATATTCATTTAATGAAAAATATAAATATAAATCAATATATAAATTCAAAACTTAATTTTTTTTAATAATTATCCATTGTAGATAAAACAAATAAATTGACTTTTTTCTGCTGCATACAACAAAGAAATAAAGGTTTATAGGAGTTAGTGTTACCTATAAACACCATTCCTTTCCGAAGAGTCACATTTCATTATTCTCTCCTTGACTTCCCCTGCCAAACCAACATGCTGCCATTGGATTGGTTGATTGCAATACTTGACCGGCCAATCAGATGGCCTAACATAGAGCATGGAAGACACATATGGAAGTGGAAGTGGTAAGGTTCCATTGGCTGGGATTTCAATGATGTTAAATTTACCTGTATGCAGAAAGATACACTTTTAACAAAACTGTTATTCTTTTAACCTTAGCTTTAGCCAACCCACCCCCACCCCACCATTCACATACAAGATCCAAATAAGTGAAGATGGAGATATTTGGGAGAAGGGAAAACATACTTAGTCTGTTATTCAATAAAAGCTTAATACACATATTTTTTTAATCTCACCAAATTTGAAATTCAGAATTTGTTTAAAATTTTTTCCATGTAATAACAAACTACATTTATCAAAGGTCCTGGAATGTTCTTCATTTAGTCAATTTAAAAGTACAGGTGATACATTTAAATCTATATTTATCTCCAACCAGGAAGTAAATTACAGATCTCGTCAAAGTCTCGACTAAAATCTCACTCTGACATTCCAAAGTTTGTTTGTTAGCAGATATATACATTTAGAGGTCATTTGCATTAAAAGTAAGTACTGGGTTGTCTGCAGACAGGAAATTTAAATTTTTCTCAAAAAAGGAATTTTTTTCATTAAGTACAACTTCTCTTACATAACTTAAAGTTTAATACAATAGAGTAGTTTTGAATAGGGAGATTCATCTTCAGTCTATAATTAGAGCCAGACAACATTATTGCAGTTCAGCTTTAACAATTAAATTGAAGATGTAATTTAACTGCTGCAGTTCCGGAACCCATATGCATGTAACAAACTTTTAAATGTTAATTTCAGATGGCACATTCCAAACCTAAAATTCCAGGCACTGCCCAACACTTTCTAGAATGTGGTTTTGAAGATTGTGAGAGAAATTGTGAATTTTACTGCAATTCCTGCCATCATCAGATGTGTAAACCATGCAGAGACCAACATTTAAAGATTCCAGAAAACAAAAACCATGAAGTGGTCCTTTATCAGAAACGTAGACGACAACTTCCTGTGAAAAAATGCAAGATCCACCCCAACAAAGAAGTAGATATTTACTGCAAAGACTGCAATATTCCTTTATGTTCAAAGTGTTCAACAATGCAAGAGCACCAGAGACATTGCTTTATCGATTTAGAATCTATTTATACAGAGAAATTTGAACTTTGCCAAAAGGAACTCTCTAAAATCCATAATTACTTTGTTCCTACGTCACAGGATTTACAGAGAGAAGTTCGGGAAGATGCCACAGAAGTTAAACAGATCATGGACAGCATACGGACATCCATGAAGGCTGAAGCCGAGTCTCTCAAAAACATGGTGGACACAGTGCTCTCAGAAAATATGGAAGAATTAAACCAAATAGAGAAGTCATTACTGGAGAAATTAAAGAGCCAAGAGAAGACATTTGATGATTATATTGCCTATCTCAGCGACCTTGTTAAAGAGTTCCAGAGTTACCTGTCCTCTAATGAGCTCACTAACTTCACAACTCAACTTCTAGACAACTTAAAAATAAAATCCATACCAGAAACCACAAAACCTATCACACCAGAATTTTCTTCTGTTGGATACAACAAAAATGATGTTGCAAAGTTATTAGGGAAAGTAATTAAATCAGATAGAAAGGCAGAACTAAGAAGAGTAAAGTCAATGGAAATTCTTCCTATTGCTACATCAATGAAATCTACAAGTGAACAGACAAAACAAGATAAACAAGTGAAATCTGACAAGAAACAAACAATGTCTCTATCTGCCTCTGTCACCAAGGTCAGGGAGTTCAATGTACCAGGTGTTGATGATGTATACCATGTATCACTAGATCAATCAGACAGACTCTGGATCAGTGACAATGTGGGTAATCTTGTCCAAACAGATCTACAGGGGAATGTGATACAGAAGATAAAAACCAGTGGTGGACTTGGTTACCACACAGTCACACAGGACAGGGATCTGATCTTTACAGACCAAGACAAGAAAGTCATCAATAGGATAACACAGGATAATAAAATCACTGAATTCATTAAAACTGGAGACTGGGAACCACGCAGCATACACTCCTCCCACATCAACGGGGACTTACTGGTGGGGATGAGGACAGATGAAGAGGGTAAAGTCACCAGGTACAACAAGACAGGAAAAGAACTACAGAACATACAGAGGGATAGCGAAGGATGGGAACTGTATAGTAATCCACACTACATCACAGAAAACATCAATGGAGATATCTGTGTATCAGAATATAATAAAAGGGCAGTAGCGGTGGTGAATAAATCAGGACAACACAGGTTCTTCTACACAGGTCAGGAGTCATGGTTCTATCCCTATGGAATCTGTACTGATGTCCTCGGTCACATCCTGGTGTGTGATAGTCTCAGTAACTCTGTTCACCTCCTTGATCAGGATGGTCAGTTCTTGTCTCTATTACTCACACCACAACAAGGGGTAGGGTATCCCATTAGTGTGTGTGTGGATGATGAGAACAATCTCTATGTAGGACAATATAAAACCAACACACTGACAGTGTACCAGTATCTACAGTGATTCTTATTCTGACATAAAACACTTTGTTTGAATATCCTGAATAGTGTACCCTTCAATAATCATTATACTGAACAAATTGCACAATACTATTACATGTAATTGATTTCAATAGTAAACATTTCATGAATACTTTTTTGGATTCCCAATTAAAAGATATCTGTCTATTTTACTATGTGGTGAATGGTGAAAATGATTATGAAACAAAATAATCTACAGTAAAACATGGTTATAGTGAAATGCTTGTAATTACATGTAATTCCTGCTAACAATATGCTTTTAAAACATTTTGTAAATTAAAATTGCACATCCCTGGAATTTCACTTTCAGCTTATTTTACTGTACTGATCAGGGTTCTCCACATTTGAAAATTTAACCATGGAGGAAGCTGCGTAAAGACAAAATGTGACCAAAAACTCGAATGCGCATTAGACTTCCTAATCTTCATTAATCAATGACTGGTTTAACAATTTGTAAACTTTACCATTGCAACACAAAACAATGGAATAACTAACTCTGTTTAAAGTTAAAAAAAAAAATAAGAATTAAAATTCAAAAGGATTTATCCTGTATTTTACCTCACAAATGTACCAGAAGTTGCCCAAAACTGTAGTAATCTTCCGAAGGAATTAAAAAATATTGTTGATACATAAACCAGGGCAATATTATTCAGAAATTTATAATTGTAAGAATTGTTGTAGCCTGTTGTATGAAATGTTTTGTTTAAATATGACTAAAACTGATGAATGGGTAGTATTTTTTTTAAGTAAACACACAAAGGAACAATTGGATAAGTGTCCTTTTTTTTCTAAGCATTCTATTTTTCTAGATAATGAGTTTTTCACCAAGTTCTGTTTACTTCTCCACGTGCCCCAGTGCTAAAATAGCGCCACGCGACGTCTCATAACAACGGGAAGTAACTCTAAAAATAAGACGGCGATTGACACTTAGGTCCTATGCACATTTTATCGAAACGATAATAGTCAAATCTTAAAAAACACAGCAGGGGAAATTAATTAAATACAGAGGAATATTGATTTTTTACAGAGTATTTTTGGGCTAATATCATCAAGATTTCAGACGTTAAACCAGAAGTCTCTGTCGAGACTGTAGCTCTACTGGTTTGTACTTGGCATTTTAAAGGTATTTAACAGAAAATTCTATTTTTAATAACCTTGGCAACACCGTTCATTGAAATCAAAAACTGATGCACTATTCTATGTATCTAAGTGTAGTCTACTTGTGTTCCAAGTTATACTGAAATCAGACCAAAACTGTAGAAGGAGTAGCATTTTAAAGGAATTTCACAGAAAATTCTATTTTTAGTAATCATGGCAACACTGTTCATTGAAATCAAAAACCGATGCACTATTCTATGTATCTTAGTGTAGTCTACTTGTGTGCCAAGTTATATTGAAATCAGACCAAAAATGTAGAAGGAGTAGTGTTTCAAAGGAATTTCACAGAAAATTCTATTTTTAGTAACCATGGCAACACCGTTCATCGAAATCAAAAACTGATGCACTATTCTTTGTATCTTAGTGTAGTCTAATTGTGTGCCAAGTTAAATTGAAATTAGATCAAAAATGTAGAAGGAGTAGCATTTTAAAGGAATTTCATAGAAAATTCTATTTTTAGTAACCATGGCAACACCGTTCATCGAAATAAAAAACTGATGCACTATTCTATGTATCTTAGTGTAGTCTAATTGTGTGCCAAGTTATATTAAAATCAGACCAAAACTGTAGAAGGAGTAGCGTTTTTAAGGAATTTCACAGAAAATTCTATTTTTAGTAACCATGGCAACACCGTTCATCGAAATTAAAAACCGATGCACTATTCTATGTATCTTAGTGTAGTCTACTTGTGTGCCAAGTTATTTTGAAATCAGACCAAAACTGTAGGAGGAGTAGCGTTTTGAAATATTGTTTACAGACAGACGGACAGACAGACAGACAGACAGACAGACGGACGGACGCCGGACGCATTACTATCGCATAAGCTCTTCTGGTCTCTGACCAGTAGAGCTAAAAAACTACTTAGTTTCGACTACCCTGGCTCGGATGCGTGTCAACTACGAGACATCGTTACTATATGTCTTTGAATTCTTGTAAATCTTCTAATTATTATGAAGTAAACTGGACACAGTTAGAATTCAACAAAATAAAGTGTAATACAAAAATACAGAGCCCCGTTAACAGTAGTTTATATATTAGATATCTACTCATACTGATAAAACAGCTGGCCGACCGACCTTCAATTCATGAATTCTCACGCTTCTCGGCACATTCACAGCTGATCGACCGTGGGTAATTAGCACTATTACCTGTCCCCGTGCGCTTGGGGGGCTTCACACCACGTTGTATAAACACAATTAACTACTCAGATAGTATATTGCAGGTGTAATCTCTGAAAATGCAAGTTTTAAATTCTTAAATTTAACCATGGCGGGCGCGGATTTTAACCATGGCGCAGCAAATTTAACCATGGCGCACACAAATTTAACCATGGCGCACCTCCATGGTAAAACCCCTTGTGGAGAACCGTGCTGATAAAACAAGTATAAAAAATTTCATTCCCATGATAAAGATATACTCTCCTTGGTAAATTATTCAATTTACTGTGGATAAAATATTTCCACAAAGGAAGTAATCAATGAAGAAAGCAGCATTAAAGAAAGGAATCATTTGGAAACCAGTTTATATCAAACAATGGACTTGACTGGAAACACTATTTACATGTGATATGACTAAGTTTTTACAGACAGTTACCTTCCAAGCCTGAGTGTGTGGCCATCTTAAGGTCAATGCTGGAGTCAAGTTCATTTCTGACAATCAGTGCTGATCTGACCGTTATCAGTTTACGAGCTTTTCCTTCCTGTTTGACATCAAACACAAGTCGTGCTGGCTTCTGGATGGATGGGTCATGTTTAGAACTGTATGTTAACTGAAAAATAAGAACAAATCAGCTTTTAGAAAAAAGTAAAGCTTAAAAAAATGATACTACCACTGCAATTTTGAAATTATCTATTTAATTTTTGTAATTGTATGTGACCTTGAACTTGCTTAAAATAAGGTGACCTTGATTTAAAAATGACACATCAAAAGTTAATACTCACCCCACACAATTTTCACCTCATGACAATTTTTCTCCTTGTTGTGGAAGAAGAAAGGCATTTTTTCTCCAGACTCCACTTTTTTCCACTCTGAAGCCATTATATAGTGGTCATCTTTAGTACCTTTTCTTCTACCTGACCAGTAAAAATTCAAAATATGTCAAACATCATCAATTTTACATCAATTCATGACAGGAAACAGCACTTTGGAAAATGGTTCAATATTTATAAAATTTATCATGTTGACATTACCATTACTATTTATTATGATGCAAATCAAGCATATACCACATTTCAAATTGGTTTGGATTTCTAAACACCTAGATAATTGACCAGTTCTTTATAAATGGAGAATTAATTTTATTAATATTAATAAGTACATATAATTATAAAATTACATTATTGTTGACAAGTAATTCAAGCTACCAGTCAGGATGTTCTACTTCCATTGATGAACTCTTCATAATTAGAGGCCCGTTTGGTCGTCTGAGTGGCACGGCATGCATTTGCGGATAATACAAAACATGCTAATCTCAATCCAATTTTAATGTTAATTAAATGTATTTGTCATTACAATTAACGAATAGAACTAAGATGAAAGAGAGCGAGATCCCCAAATTTATTATCCATTAATAAAAAAAAATACATTTTTGAGGCATGTGTATTGTATTTAGATGTAACTTACGATAAATAGAAACATACACTGATATCATTGTCATTTCTACTCTTGATGGATTCAAGTCAACAAAATGAAATATTTCATTTGCATTTCGATAGAATTTGTTCATTGACTGTAAGTTATATATAGTATAAAAATAGTTTCTCTATTGTAGTTTTTACACAATAAAACCCCCGTCGGCTCCTTTAAATAACAGCTTGAGAGCATTCTTAAATAATTCAAGGCTTTTATGCACTTTTTGATTGACTGAAAAATTCATATACGTGTATATTGTATAATCTGTGTTACCTACATCACTGTCAAAAACATATCCGTTTGCTTGATGTTAATTTGAATTTTGCACAATTTAATGCAGTTTTTCAGGTGAAGCTTTCTTTTTTTATATACTTAAATCAAATTATAAAGAAAATCAATGCATTTAATATCTTACCAAGTTATACAGTATAACCTGGGTTGGAACAGTTAAATACATTTTTTTTATTAACCACTTCACATAAATTCATTCAAAAAGAAATTATATATACTGACTTGCATTTAATTAGAAACTTAATGAAAAACAAATATCATGAACAATTTATTCTTTAATAATCAACAAATGGCAAATAACAAACAAAAATTCTGACCATATAGATCCATTTCTATATTAAAAAGAAAGAGTTTCAATAAAATTACAATCATACATATGCAAATCTTATCATGTGTTTATAATCAAATCTGATTAATTAATACATTCAGGACACTTGTTTATCATCAGAATTGAAGCACAACATTACCAGCTGTTGAATGTTTCATTTCCTGACAGATAAATGCATTTATTTAATTATCTAACAATCTCTTAGACTAAGTCTTGCAATCATATCTTTAATATCAAGTTACAAATACAATAAATGAATGTATAATCAAAATACATTCCTAGAAATGTGTATGGGAAAAAAAATCATTATGCATCATTTTCAAACTTTCTATCACCAAGTTATGAAGTAATTCACATGTGATGAAATAAATCCAATATGACACGTTTGTTCCTGATGGCTCTATAAATCACATACAACATGTTTCTTTCTGATGGCTCTATTTATCCACTATGTATCTTCAGCCTCTGTAGACGTCAGTGTGTGTTGTTGTTCTTCATACAAATTACGGGCGTAGTTGATCTGTTGACTCACCTGACAAGAAATAGATAACAGTGAAGCATACTGGTAGTGCTCCAGCCTTCATTGTGTTAACATGCACAGCCAATGTATGAACTTTTTGACATGATGTATTTTTATGTCCCAGTCAAAGTTACACAGTTTACAAGAACTCTACGGTTTACAGAGATTTTCATTACCAGTAAATATGGCTGAATACAGACATGCAAATCTGCAGTGTTTACATTAATATCCAGGTACATGTACATTTTAATATGATTCTCTAATAAAGGTAATAATTAAATGATAAGACAAATATGTGCATAATAAGAAAAAGAAATCCCTCCGACAATAGTATCTGTTAGGCACATTTACCCTTTTAGCCACTGTACAAGTGTAACAGTCTAATACACTTAACCTTTAAGCCCTAGTCTGTCACGCTTAACCTTTCAGTCATGGTCTGTTAGTCACACTTACCCTTTAAGCCACAGTCAGTCAGGCTAAACCTCTCAGTCACAGTCTGATTGTAACACTTTCCCTTTCAGCAAATCTTTTTGTTACACTTACTCTCTCAGTCACAGTCTGATTGTCACACTTGCCCTTTCAGTCACGGTCTGTCTGTCACATTTACCCTTTCATCCACAGGCTGTTTGTTACATTTACCATTTCAGTCATGGTCTGTTTGTTAGACTAACCCTTTCAGTCATGGTCTATTTGTCACACTTACCCTTTCAACCAAGCTCTGTTTGTCACTCTTACCCTTTCAGCAATGGTCTATTTGTCACACTTACCCATTCAGTCACAGTCTGTTTGACACACTTACCCTTTCAGTCATGGTCTGTTTGACACACTTACTCTTTCAGTCACGGTCTGTTTGTCACACTTACCCTTACAGTCACGGTCTGTTTGTCACACTTACCCTTTTAGCCACAGTCTGTTTGTCATACTTACCCTTTCAGCCACAGTCTGTTTGACACACTTACCCTCTCAGTCATGGTCTGTTTGTCCCACTTACCCTCTAAGCCACGGTCTGTTTATCACTTACCCTTTCAGCAATGGTCTGTTTGTCACATCTTATCTGGGGGACCCTCTGTTGATCAGAAGCTGATGTTTGTGACCTCACAAGCTCCAGGTAATATCTGCCCTCTGTAAATCAACAAAGAAAGATACAATAACTCTAAATATACTTTTCAAGACACAACAGTCATGTAATTATGTTAAAACCATTTGACTGGAATCGCCCCCATCACTTACTGATTTCCACCACCAGACACTGGAACAGCTCTTTGTGGGGGACCTTGAGAATGATGTTCCCAGAGTCAGCCTCACCCCCCAGTAAGAAGTACACCTGTTTAGAGGTGATCAGAGACATCAGTCTGTCTTCTCTCCTCAGCTGTTCTACAGCTATGAAACTACAACCACCACATAAACAATTTAAAGATTTAATTACTTTCTAGTCTTTTAACATTTTACACCCACTTTGTTTCACAGTGGTCTTCAATTTTTTACCATTTCTTACCATAACATACTTACATACAAACAGATTACTTATTAATAAATACATAAATATAAGAAAAAGATTACAAATTTTCTTATATGAGTATTCATACAAAAACTCACGACTTAATACATGCGAAAGTCTGATTTAATTGATAGATGATTTTTTCTTTTATCTAATAATTACAATTCCTCCAGGTTCCTCTTGTTGAGATCATGCAGTAGTTTCTGTGACTTGGCATCGTTTTGAGAATAAGGAGGCAGCAGCATCCCTGCCCCATGACAGCACCGTGGGAGTCGGAGGGGCGGGGGACTGATACGAGAGCTGCTACTGCTGGTGTCCCTGATAGCGTTAGCTGCACCCGAGGCAAGGTCGAGTACTCCGACTACAGGCTTAGTCACCGTACCAATCACTCCCTTCCCTATCCCTGTCACAAGGCCCTGATAACACATAAAGCAAATTACAGCTGAAAAATTCAAATATAATTTTTTTTAAAAACACTTTTCCCTTTTCTACTAGTCTTCAATTACTTAAAATTTCAGAACCCTTTGAATTTCCTGCAATGAATTACCTCAATACCATCTTCCTTGAAGCCATCATAGGGCTGAGTGAATATACTGGTCACAGCACCAAACAGTCCATTACCAAAACCTTTGACTCCAGCCAGTATATGCCCCCCGCTGGACTGGGCACCGGTCCTCAACTGCTCCCGTCTGTCCTGGTAATTTTTGTCCATGTTCAGTGTCCCAAGTCCATCAGATAGTGATCCTACAACCTATAAACATCAAACAGCATAAAACACTTTAAAGAAATCATTTTCAAAATCTATTCTAAATTGCTGATTCAAAAGAATATTAACCACTAGGAAGTAACATGACAAATGCACGGTCTATATGTAAAAATATTATGACACTTTTTTAAATTTGAGTTTCAACACTTTGAATAATGTACATTTAATGAAAAATATTGTACAATTTGAACATAAACAGTAGCATGTACTGCTTATCAAGTTGCAAACTAAGCTAATTACCTTGGCAGCCGAGTTGGACACTCCATGTGTGACGTTCGTCAGGAGACCCCTCACATTGCCATCATTGATCAGACCTGAAATTCCCTCTGTGACATCATTAAACAGACCCAGGGGATTCCCAAGGAAGTCCACAGAACCCAGGATCTTGGCTGCCTGACTCTTCAGCTCCTGTCAAACAAGGCAATCCATACAATGAACATTATATAAACATCTACATCTACATACTGTAAACCAGTTTTTATACGCGTCATTTTTTATTCGCGACTGACCGCTAGAGAACTAATCCGCGACGATTTATTTCCGCGAACAAGTTGTCACATTTTTTTTTCCACAAGTATTTTTTGTATCAAATTAAAACCTTATATCCACCCCTAAACTAGGTTAAATGCTACCATGAGTACTGCTTACGCATTATTCAAGCCAAAGGGTAATTATTACAATTGGTTTGGACAGAGCAGGGCTGTGTCATAATTAGCCGTAATTACTGTAACCAAGCTTTCTCTATCTCGTCTGTGACAATAAATGAACAATAACACAAGCTGATATAATTATTGACAGTTTTAATCATTTTTAGACAAAAAGTTTTAGATTTACCATTCGTTTTTATTTTTTTACTGAATGTTTGTAATTAAATTCTAACTGCTCCTAGTGCAATGAAGTTCTTCCGTGATTACATATTTAAGTGTCGGGATCAATATCGGCATTCAAAAAAGGGCAAGTGACTCTAATCATAACATGGAAATTATAATGAACAACTGGTTCGCGACAATAAATATCCGCGAGCAGAGGTTGCTCGTGGAACTCACGGATATTTATCGCACCAATATAATACTTGGTTTACAGTAATACGGTGTTCCATCAAACTTGATGAATTACTATACAAGTGAAAACACTGGATTTTGTTTGAAAACTTCAATTACTGCGAGTTAGAAAAAATTAAATATTTTAAGGGCTGACAAAAATGTAAAAACCTCAGTGTAGTGGACTCCTATCTCTTTCTGAAGGAAGACAATGGTTTCAAACAGGTGACTTTTGATGAAAGGATCTGTAAAAGGATTGAATATATTACAATACCTTGAGAAGTAAACTTATGAACATCAGGCTCATACATTTAAGATATGAGTGTAATTTTAAAATTGAAACAGAAAAACCTGTCGGATAGTAATATTTAAGTTTTTATTCTATTTCAGACATTACCAAGATCCACTTTGGCGTCTTCGAATCTGACAAGTGGTAGAGACATGTCTCTCTTCAGAGCCTTCAAGTCAGCTGAAAGTTTGGAGGCAGTGAGCATGCTCAGATTGACACGACTCGTGTGGATTTTCAGGAGTCCAAAGTAATATCTCTTGGTCTTCACTGAAGTAGCAGCTGCAAGTGCTCTGTAAAAAGTTGGTGTACATGTACATAACGTATCAGTTTGCTTCAATGTATCTCTATACAATAATGAATGCTTTTATCGGTTATCAAACTAACCCACACACTATTACAGGTAAACTTCCTTATCTCCACATCGGCGGGACAATCGGGAAATGTCGAGATATCCGAGGTGTTGAGATATCAGAGTTGAGACTCAACGTCCTTAATTTAAGTACTGCATAGTAAAACATGTACATGTAAATACGTACATGTCTTCAAAAGACTTTAGCTTGCTTGTTTCAGCTATCCCTCCATATTTATTAAAAAATCTGTGGAATTATTCACAAATGTAATTCAATAAAATGCTTCGCTTTTTTATGGAAATCTAATTTTACTAAATAAAAGTTTTCCATCCAGCATTCCGCGTGCAACTTGCTTTGTCAGAGCAGGATACGTAATGCGCTTTATATAAACTCAGATACAAAATGGTATAAAGTTGACTTCCGTGATACGGGGAAAAAAAATCAATGCGTATTCTCAAGTTATTTTACTTTACTTCATTTTTATTTCATCATCATTCATCATTATTTTTCATTTTGTTTCCAAATCAAAATTTTAATAAAAGGATTTGCGTATTAAAAGAAGCTCAATGATGTAACACCTGCATATGGATATCATGGCTTGTCGTGCGCATGCCATAGATTGGATTGTTTCCGGTTGAATGCATTTTTACTACAATTTCTAAGTTAAATTGAATTTAATGTGCATATTATTCATCATAATTCAGTTACTTTTTTTAAAAAGTAAAATATTGAAGTTATGTTATATTTCAACATTAAAACAAGAGGCCCATGGGCCACATCGCTCACCTGAGAAGTTTTGACCATTCTGTTCTTTACCAGATTTCACCTTTGTTATACATAATGCATCCCCACATTACCCCACTGATCATAACTTAGACATTTTGAAATCTACACTACCCCATGATCCTTCCATTGGCACATATGTTTCAGCTTTTTTGGCCCAGTGGTTCCTGAGAAGAAGATTTTCAAAGATTTTTCCTATATATTTCTATGTAAAACTTTTATTCCCTATAATGGCCCCGCCCTTCCCCCGGGGGTCATGATTCCTACAATTTAGAATTTACACTACCCCAGATTGCTTCCACAAAAGTTTCAGCTTTTCTGGCCCAGTGGTTCTTGAGAAGAAGATTTTCAAAGATTTTTCCTATATATTTCTATATAAAACTTTGATTCCCCATTGTGGCCCCGCCCTTCCCCCGGGGGGCATGATTTGAACAATTTAGAATCTACACTATACCAGGATGCTTCCATATAAGTTTCAGCTTTTCTGGCCCAGTGGTTCTTGAGAAGAAGATTTTCAAAGATTTTTCCTATACATTTCTATATAAAACTTTGATTTCCCATTGTTGCCCCGCCCTTCCCCCGGGGGTCATGATTTGAACAATTTAGAATCTACACTATACCAGGATGCTTCCATATAAGTTTCAGCTTTACTGGCACAGTGGTTCTTGAGAAGAAGATTTTCAAAGATTTTTCCTATATATTTCTATATAAAACTTTGATTCCCCATTGTGGCCCCGCCCTTCCCCCGGGGGTCATGATTTGAACAATTCAGAATCTACACTATATCAGGATGCTTCCATATAAGTTTCAGCTTTTCTGGCACAGTGGTTCTTGAGAAGAAGATTTTCAAAGATTTTTCCTATATATTTCTATATAAAACTTTGATTCCCCATTGTGGCCCCGCCCTTCCCCCGGGGGGCATGATTTGAACAATTTAGAATCTACACTATATCAGGATGCTTCCATATAAAGTTCAGCTTTACCGGCCCAGTGATTTCCATTTCATTTGTTTGGTTATGATAGTTATAGAGGTTTGTCTTAAATAATTATAAAACTTCAAACGATTTCTGATTTTTTAAAAAAAATGTATAACATTCCATTGAAGGGTGGGGGGTTAGAGTTAGGTTGAGGGAGCGTTTGGGGTAGAGTTAGGTTTGTTTAGTTCCCCTTGTCCTTTTTGATTGGTTAAACCCCCTGGTGGATCGGGGGCTTAGAGAATAGGTTCCTGGCCTATTAGAGGCTTGTCGTAAGAGGCGACAGAATTTCCCATTAAATAGTTGTATTATTAAATTTTTTTTTAAATACTAAATTAAAGAAGTTCAGTTAGTTTTATTCTTATCTATGCTATGTCTTATACAACTCCTGCACACACCGCCGTATTGGCATAGCATTCATGAGAATATAGTTTCTTATCCTATAAAAACCCATTGAATAAAAATTAAAGATAAGAGATGAAATAGGTTTGAGTTCAATTATCTTAAGATTCCTTAAGAAGGTAGGAGTTAAGTTATTATAAGATTAAATTTCAATTTCATTTATTTGGTTATGATGGTTATAGAGGTTTGTCTTAAATAATTATAAAAGTCCAAAGATTTCTGATTTTGTTTAAAAATGTATAACATTCCATTGAAGGGGGGGGGGGGTAGAGTTAGGTTGAGGGAGCGTTTGGGGTAGAGTTAGGTTTGTTTAGTTCCCTTGGTCCTTTTTGATTGGTTAAACCCCCTGGTGGATCGGGGGCTTAGAGAATAGGTTCCTGGCCTATTAGAGGCTTGTCGTAAGAGGCGACAGAATTTCCCATTAAATAGTTGTATTATTAAAAATTTTTTTAAATACTAAATTAAAGAAGTTCAGTTAGTTTTATTCTTATCTATGCTATGTCTTATACAACTCCTGCACACACCGCCGTATTGGCATAGCATTCATGAGAATATAGTTTCTTATCCCTATAAAAACCCATTGAATAAAAATTAAAGATAAGAGATGAAATAGGTTTGAGTTCAATTATCTTAAGATTACTTAAGAAGGTAGGAGTTAAGTTATTATAAGATTAAATTTCAATTTCATTTGTTTGGTTATGATGGTTATAGAGGTTTGTCTTAAATAATTATAAAACTTCAAACGATTTCTGATTTTTTTAAAAAAATGTATAACATTCCATTGAAAGGGGAGGGGGGGTAGAGTTAGGTTGAGGGAGCGTTTGGGGTAGAGTTAGGTTTGTTTAGTTCCCTTGGTCCTTTTTGATTGGTTAAACCCCCTGGTGGATCGGGGGCTTAGAGAATAGGTTCCTGGCCTATTAGAGGCTTGTCGTAAGAGGCGACAGAATTTCCCATTAAATAGTTGTATTATTAAAAAAATTTTAAATACTAAATTAAAGAAGTTCAGTTAGTTTTATTCTTATCTATGCTATGTCTTATACAACTCCTGCACACACCGCCGTATTGGCATAGCATTCATGAGAATATAGTTTCTTATCCTATAAAAACCCATTGAATAAAAATTAAAGATAAGAGATGAAATAGGTTTGAGTTCAATTATCTTAAGATTACTTAAGAAGGTAGGAGTTAAGTTATTATAAGATTAAATTTCCATTTCATTTGTTTGGTTATGATGGTTATAGAGGTTTGTCTTAAATAATTATAAAACTTCAAACGATTTCTGATTTTTTTTAAAAAAATGTATAACATTCCATTGAAGGGGGGGGGGGGGGTAGAGTTAGGTTGAGGGAGCATTTGGGGTAGAGTTAGGTTTGTTTAGTTCCCTTGGTCCTTTTTGATTGGTTAAACCCCCTGGTGGATCGGGGGCTTAGAGAATAGGTTCCTGGCCTATTAGAGGCTTGTCGTAAGAGGCGACAGAATTTCCCATTAAATAGTTGTATTATTAAAATAAAATTTGAATACTAAATTAAAGAAGTTCAGTTAGTTTTATTCTTATCTATGCTATGTCTTATACAACTCCTGCACACACCGCCGTATTGGCATAGCATTCATGAGAATATAGTTTCTTATCCTATAAAAACCCATTGAATAAAAATTAAAGATAAGAGATGAAATAGGTTTGAGTTCAATTATCTTAAGATTCCTTAAGAAGGTAGGAGTTAAGTTATTATAAGATTAAATTTCAATTTCATTTATTTGGTTATGATGGTTATAGAGGTTTGTCTTAAATAATTATAAATCTTCAAAGAATTTCTGATTTAAAAAAAAAAATGTATAACATTCCATTGAAAGGGGGGGGGAGAGTTAGGTTGAGGGAGCATTTGGGGTAGAGTTAGGTTTGTTTAGTTCCCTTGGTCCTTTTTGATTGGTTAAACCCCCTGGTGGATCGGGGGCTTAGAGAATAGGTTCCTGGCCTATTAGAGGCTTGTCGTAAGAGGCGACAGAATTTCCCATTAAATAGTTGTATTATTAAAAAAATTTTAAAATACTAAATTAAAGAAGTTCAGTTAGTTTTATTCTTATCTATGCTATGTCTTATACAACTCCTGCACACACCGCCGTATTGGCATAGCATTCATGAGAATATAGTTTCTTATCCTATAAAAACCCATTGAATAAAAATTAAAGATAAGAGATGAAATAGGTTTGAGTTCAATTATCTTAAGATTCCTTAAGAAGGTAGGAGTTAAGTTATTATAAGATTAAATTTCAATTTCATTTATTTGGTTATGATGGTTATAGAGGTTTGTCTTAAATAATTATAAAAGTCCAAAGATTTCTGATTTTGTTTAAAAATGTATAACAATCCATTGAAGGGGGGGGGGGGTAGAGTTAGGTTGAGGGAGCATTTGGGGTAGAGTTAGGTTTGTTTAGTTCCCTTGGTCCTTTTTGATTGGTTAATCCCCCTGGTGGATCGGGGGCTTAGAGAATAGGTTCCTGGCCTATTAGAGGCTTGTCGTAAGAGGCGACAGAATTTCCCATTAAATAGTTGTATTATTAAAAAAAAATTTAAAACTAAATTAAAGAAGGTCTGTTAGTTTTATTCTTATCTATGCTATGTCTTATACAACTCCTGCACACACCGCCGTATTGGCATAGCATCCATGAGAATATAGTTTCTTATCCTTATAAAAACCCATTGAATAAAAATTAAAGATAAGAGATTAAATAGGTTTAAGTTCAATTATCTTAAGATTTCTTAAGAAGGTAGGAGTTAAGTTATTATCAGATTAAATTTCCATTTCATTTGTTTGGTTATGATGGTTATAGAGGTTTGTCTTAAATAATTATAAAACTTCAAACAATGAAATATCAGTATCGTGTTTTGAGTGTATCCTGTAGTTTTACGAGGACTGATGTCGTAGGTTTAGTATTCTGTGTAAAAGTGTTTTTTCTGATGTG